GTGAGAAGAAAGGGCAACAGTTTCTCCAGACAGATACTGAGGCATGGAAGGTATGTGATGGGAAAGACAGGAATCCTGATCAAGTTAATCCTGAACTTTCTATAGCAGCTGTTATTCAGGACATGAGCAATAAGATAAACTAGCATGTTTGCTACTCTGCTGAAAGCATGTATATACAAACAGCTGTATGGAATAAGTACAGCATCCCTCATCCTAATTTAAATCCTGTTAATTTGCTCTTGTAGCTGTGTCCTTAAGCAGATCGCTAACCTGAGCATCTCTCACTGCCATTCCCTCAGGTGACAGAACAGCCAGATAGGCTGGTATTCTCCATTAGATTTAGTTTTCTACCAGAGCGAGGATGAGTTTAATAAACTACAAAAATTTTGGCATGCCACACAATGCTGTCCAGAGGACACAGAACAAAGCTCCAACATTTCTATTTCAATCTTTGAAGCCAGCAAAACAGAAAGGACTTTACAAATTGTTACATCCTATGAAGCACTTACCGTCCTGAAGAAACTTGTTTAAGTGAACCAGCACTTTCAAACAGCTGGGCTCTTGCAGCCACTCTGAAAATAAAGCACCACCTTGCTTTATACTTTGCCCATGAATAACACAGAAAGATTAACTTCACTTCAATCATCTAAAGACATGGACACATTTGTAAAAATTAAGTGTTCACTTAGGTAAGCAGAGAAAGTTCAAAAGCTGAATTTAAGTCCCTATTCAGCAGAATACTTAAGGGCATAACTTAATTGGAGCCTCACTTCCACATGCTCTAGTGCCTTGCTGAGTCAGCAAGGGAAATCTCAACACCCTATATTTAAAATTCTATTCATGGATGGTCAGTAGATATATGGGAAATGCTTTTACTGCCACTCTGTTACTATCATGCTGGAACTCTGAGTTGTGCAGGATTCTCTATTTAAAACACAACAGTCTGTGAAATAACTACAGTGATCCCTTCCAGTTTAGAAAGTGGAGAGGCTGAATGAAGTGCTGCAGTATTTGGAGAACTTCTTGGTGCTCTGCAGATCTGGAAATCACTTGTTCATGGGGACAGAGAAATTCCAGGTCAAATTCAGGATTACAGCAAAGATCTTCTGACTCTTAAATTTGTGCTAAAAGCACTGAGAAACGTTGATAACCCAAATCTCAACAAGCTAAATTATAACCTCTATTGCTTAGAATTATCATCCTTTCAAAATAACCCCGCCCCCCAAAAAACCCCCAACTGTTAGAAAAAAACCAAAGATCCCAACTATTTAACATGCAGCAACCAAAGAAATTTCAGAGCAGAAGTTTGGTTTTTTTTGCTTTTTCCAATTTCAGACTTAGACAAGTAAGATCTGATGATCTTCCTGACATAACAGCAATGGCAGGAAGTAGCATTTATGCTCCTTGAAACATTAAATTCCAGAAGAGTCAAAGATAATACTACTGATCACTTTCCAAAGATACATTTCTTTATTACAGACCTTGTCTGTAGTCTAATGAAGTCCATGGGAGTCTTTCAACTGACTGCAACAGACTTTGTGCCGTGTCTCCTTTGTTTACAATTTTAATGAAGCTAGATAAATCATTCACAAATACAGAAATATTCAAATCAAGTATTCATGGATACTTTTTCAACTACTTATGTAGCTCTCTGGGATCATTTTATAGTAGACAACACTGTAACAACAAATCTCCAAAGGGCCTTGATGACTTACACAGATCCTGGTCTTTGATAGCCATTACTTGATGCAGTATCTAATCTTAATCTCCTGCACATTTTGGGAGGCAAATCAGGGTTTGGTGGAGCCTTTGGTGTATCTTTGGTATCTGCTGAAGATAAGCTCTGTATAGATCCACAGCAGCTTTTGTTACCTAAAGAAAACAACCAAATTGTAGGGAATATTAAAGCTAATTTGAAGTTGTTTCACAACATGTGTAGCATGCAAAGCAAAGTTTTTGTTGTTGTGTTTTGGGGTCTTTTTGTGGTTTTTTTTTTTTTTTTTTTAAGAGGCAGTATAGGTAGGCAAAGTATGTATTAAGACAGAGAAGAAACAGCCTTTCAGGCAGTAAGCCAGGAGGAAAGGACTAACAGTGAGAATGAAGAAATTACATTAGAATTGTGAATACTAAAAAATTACATTGTACTTAAATGGCTAGATACTACATTCACTAGGAAGTACAATAAACTCAACATTTATAAAGTAGTACATTGCATAGAATTGTAGAAAAAATTCATGTTGGAAGGGATCTCAGGAACTCATCTAGTCCAAATTCCTGCTCAAAGCAGCATCAACTGTGAAATCAGACCACGTTAATTTGTAAAAATTAGTATTTCAGTATACACGGAAGTTTCATGCGGTTTGAAAATATACTTAGAATTAATGGTTACGAGTTGCCCAAAGAAATTGCTACTGTAACTTGATAAAACACATCTATAGCTGTACAGACTGTATTGCACACAAAAAAGTCCTTTTAATGAATACAAGGCATTGCCACGTGTGTCCTTTAAGCTGATCTATCTGTGGACTGTTGCCTTGTTTGCATATATATTCTGCAAGACAGTAACGGCATCTACTTCTGTGTTTCTTTATTCCCAAGAACAACAAATTCTTAATAATGCTTTAAAAGCTGTCAAAATATAAAGAGATCCCCAAAAATAAAAACAATACCTATATTATTAATATTTTTATTCTATACTAGAAATTATTGTTAATTATTATTCTGTATTATTAATACTGTTAATATGACACTAATTCATATCTGGAAGTCTTCGGAAAAAGCACACTCCACAGGGGGCAGAGGGGAGAGAATTTTCTTAAAATTGTAGGACTTTGCACATAACCACATATTTATCCTACCTGTACTTGTATTCTTATACTATTGACAGCTCAGTGGCAAATGCAGTCAGTCCATTGGAGCTCATTGTTTCAGTGCCAGCTATTAATCTTCATAATCCAAAAAAACTGCAAATATACTGATTTCAACAAGGTGTTTCGTCTAAAGGAATTTCCACATAGCTGTCAATATAGTGCAATATCACCTCATGTACTCAAGAGGTACAGCAAGGGTTCACAGGCATTCCAGCTCACTTAGCAGAACTGTCTACATCAAGCAGCTATGCTTTCAAGCTTCCCTGTCTTGTAAGGAGCCTTGTCTCTGGGCTTATTTGGAACACAGGCTCAACTTAGGTGCTCTGAGGGTGTTCTTCGGAGTGGCATCCTTCTTTGACTGAACAGGAAGACTGGCATCCTAACTTGTGCACTGAAATGGGATTCCTGAAGTTCGGTTTGCAAACTTGTGGTTATACTTGCACATCATGTCCATATACAGGACCGTTCAGCCATGATCTTATGTTCAGGCTGATATACTTGCAGTACTGGGTAACAAACTATGCAAGTATGGCAGGATGAAGCAGCCATTCCATCAGCAGGGTTTCAGACATACATTTCGTGTCAGGGATTACCTTTTTATCCCATCTGTCCAGTCCTATCTCAACTAAAGGCATTGACTGTAAAATCCATAACAAACAAACAAAGCCCAAAACCAAAACACCCCCACCTTTCCCTCAATCTCCTATTTCAGTCAATTGAAGAGATGCAGTTGTTAAAAAAAAAAAAAAAAAAAAGGCAGGCACATCAACAAGGAGTGACAAAACTGTTTCTTACTAGATATGTTAAGCCTAGTACTTTTTGAATTTGAATGCTAGCTTTGATCAGTGTCAATCATGTTGCGAGGAACCATTCCTTTGACACAGTGATAAACCACAGCTACCAACACTTCTTATAAATCAGCAATCTCCTTACAAGTCAGTGGTCTAAGTGAGGTGCAGCAGGATAGAGTACTCTGAATTCTGAGAAACACTGAGAGCTTTTAAGCTGTGTGAACTGTACAGGTGACAAAGAACGGAAATATGTCAGAAGCAGTTTGAAAACCGAAAGAACATGCCATAAAAATTTAAAAATAAACATAAAAGATTAATGGATATCAGATGCAGCTCTTACTTTCTGATTCCTCACAGTGAACACTGATGTCCTACAAGACCTTGGAAATTACCTTCAGCTGATGGGATTGACCTGAGGGAAGACGCTGAAGACCTTTTCAGGCCAGACAGACTGTAAGAACTCTTTTTGGTCAGGTCTGTTGGTGGAGAAGCATTCTCTGGTCCAGTGACAGAAGCTACACTTTGGCAGTCTGACTCCACATCTGTTTTGGTTGCATCCTCTTTTGATGAGGATTCCGGACTGGTAGTCCAGAGGCCTGAACTCTTCTGGCCATTAGAAGAAGGGGGAGAGGCAATCCACGGAATCCCTCCTGATTTCTCCCGGGGCTGCGAGGGCGTGCATTTGGTAGTGCTGTTCTGCTCGGAGGAGTGAGAAGAGAGAGATTCGATGCTTCCCATGGGAGTGCTGTCTGGGCTACTGCTGTAAGAGTCACCTAGGGAGGAGTCAGGGGAGGGGAGAAAGAGGAGAGAGAGGGAAACAAGAAAAATAATTACATTTTCTAGTGCATTTCTCTCATGCCACCTTTAGCCTCTTGTACCTTACCTGTCATCAAATTAATTAATCTGTAGTTTAAGAGGCAGTAATTCTAAAGACAAAATATCTATTTAGTTACTCTAAGTTTCACACATATTCCTATCTTGAACCGGGAAGAGCTGCATTTTGTGGATATTTCTTTAGAGCTGATGAACATAATGGGCTACAGACTAAACTATTTCGCATACGAGTTTGCATTTTCAAAGAACTGCTTGCAGTCCTTCACAAATTCAACAGTTACAGTGCTGTGATATCTTTGCGGTGAGCATCTTGCTGGACTTCCATGATAAGGCAAATGTGATACTCATCACATTTGTGTTCTTAAATGCATGACTGTATTGCCTGCAGGCACAAGAATTAAATTTTATTTGGTTACCAAGCTGCTGAGGATCTCTGCAGTCTAAGACTCGTCCATAACTCTATAGATATTCTGTTTTCTGAATTGTCACACCTATCATAAAACATCTATCCTGCAGAAGGACAACTCATTCCTTACAACTTGAACATCTGATGAGTTTCTTTAATTAGACTGATATTACAGAAATTTACCTACCTATATAACAATCTTTGTCCTGATCTTATTTCCAATTATCTTTTGCAACAAAAAGTGGGAATATCCTAACGACATTATCTGATGATATAAAGGTAGCAACACTCATCAGAACTGACGAAGGACTGGCCTATAATACAGTGAGGGCTGAATTATCCTAAAGACTAGATTTAGTCTAGTGAGTCATACATGAGTTTCTAGTAGGATTTGTTCCCAAAAGCTAGGAGATATAATTAGCAAATTTCACAAGGAGCAGAGAATATATGTTCTTCAACCACACAGTAGTTATAAGATACCAACGTGATACAGCTGCTTTTGGCTCCACGTGTTTCAATATCCTGGGCAACAAGTGACCATAACCACACAATACCACTAATACCTGTGCCTCGTATAGCGGATCTGACAACAGTAGTGCCCCAGTACAATAATCTGAAATATTCTGTCCATTTCTGGCATTCCAGATTAGGTTGTCCCCCATTGTACCCCTTTACAGACTATTGTCCCTTGAAAAATGCAAGATTGGCTGAAGCCTAAATTTGTCATACATTTTCTATCATTTTCTATCATTCCCCACTGTTTGAAACCTGTATCTCATTTTGTCATGCCATACAGAATTTCTTAATTTCCTGCAATATAGTTAAGTGTCCATGCTTCATTTAAGTGATGACTTGAAACTTCAGAATTTGCAGTTGCCAGAAGCCAAGGCTCTCTCTTGCCTGTCTCTGGCCACACCTAGAGATATTTGGCAAGGAGAATACTTCTGCTTCTGCCTTCTAGACACAAGCAAGAACTTAACTGGAACTTGTGTAGCAACTGCTGAGCTTAAGCTAATGACAAAGCACAAGCAGAGAGCCCTTGGGTCAGACCTAGTTTCAATCCAGCCACCAGCACAAGATGTGCCTGAATGAAGAAGTGTGAGTTGAAACTCTCCCAGTTTCTTGACTGGTGAATGTAACTGATGGTTCTTCTGTACCTTCTTACTCAGGATCCCATGCCATTCCCATGTGTAGGCAGCTACTGCTCTCATTTAGTACTTAAACTCTCAGTGGCAGGAATCATGTAATATAAACCTATGGAAAATGCAGCACCTATGCAAGAGTATACTCCGGATACACTTCCTAACGTTACAGACTTAAGGATTACTACAGGTCCTCAAGAACAGATGTACCTTAACTGTGGATTAATTTAGTGTACCAGTTTCATGTAAATCTCCTTAAGGAACCAAGGGACACCGAAGTTCTTTTGGCAGCCTGCTGCAGTAGTGGAACTTAACAACTTAATCTTTGCTACAGTTTCAATACTTCTCCATGGTACAGCCAGTAAGTAAAAAAGTGATGGCCCACTAGATCAAAATGAGTGAAGTGAAACTTTTTAATAGCCACATTTACATGAAAATGAATAAGCATTCTAAGAAGCAATTAATTACACACATTAAGTCCCTGCTGTTAAACAGTAAGCCACATGATAAGTATGCTGTTTCTCCCCAAAATATTAGAGTTTGTTTCTATTCCAGAAAAACTAAGAAAGTTTCAGTGGTTTTGGCAAACCTAGGCAGTGCCTGACTTTGAACCAATGACCACAGTTTCATGCATGTGAAAAAAGCCAAGTAATGGTTTTGATCTCCTGATGTTGACTAAATTACATTTATTACAGGAGGAAAGATTCTATTTACATTTTCCCAACCTTAACAATCATCTTAAAAGCAAATGACATGAACTTCATATAGCGAACTCCTCAGAGTTTCAAAGCAGACATTTAGATTAGAATATAAAGTCTACTCTAAAAGTTTTTTGAACATTGTATGCAATACAAGACTTGCCCAAAACCAAACATCCTTCCTCATGTGAGAAAAGCAAGGAATGCAGTCATTCAACAGTGCAGCTGTGACTCACAGAGGTTAAAAAACTGACAAAACCCCATCTGTTACACTTGTAATTACTGGAATACAATACTTATTGGATATTATTTAGGAAAGCTAAAAGACAAGACATAAAAAGGAAGATGATAAGTTAACAAGGACAAACTTACTGTCAGGATCTGCTAGGCATGGTGTATACCTTCCTTTGGGTTTACGTGAACCTGTGGAGAGACAAATTGCTCTTGTCCTTCTTGAACCTGATCGGGACTGAGGTTGGGGAAGAGGAATATTGGGGTCTGGTGCAGTGTGAAATATCTGAAAATAAATGACATAAAAAACAGAGGTACTATTACACTTCCATTATTAATCCATTTGTTTTCCTCACTACTGTGCCTGAAATCAATGCTGCAAGAGTCTTGCACATTACAAGAGAGTAAACTCACAGAATATAAGCTTTGCTCGTATCTCATTTTACAATCCAAGAACAATACTGAGCTGTACTTAAAATTTACACTAATTATATAAAAATATTTGTTTAAATAGTTTTGTTTTCTACCTCTTGTTAAGAAGTGCTTAACAGTCTAAATTGTGAAACATGCAATATGTGCTTACAACTTACTCCTGCCTAAGAAGTAATAAATTTTTTTAAATATTATGAAAAGATTGATTTTTTTCTCTGTGTTCCTGTGAAACCTTTTGTATGTCACAGAAACTTGTTATAGTCATAACTTATTACAATCCAGTTTGCATTTCAGAAAACCACTTTATTTTGTCAAATACGTCAAGTTTGATGAGGAATATCTTTACGTTTGGAGCATCTCCTGATTTTTGTCTTTTACATACTGCTGCTACCACTGGTCAGTTTTGCACTTCATTACTGCAGAAAAACCGAAAATTTTGGGGGTATCTGACTACTGTGATCTGACACAGGCACACATGAGGTTTTAAAGAACTCTCTGCTGATAAGCATGGCAAGCTTGCCAGCAAAGACAATACAATGCAGAAAGTTCAGTGATTTGGGTGACTTTCACTTATATCACCTGTTCTGCAATATCCAAGACACAGGCAGTAGAGGTCTTGAAAACCCTAAAAACCGTCTTGGATACTTCTAGTAAAAATGATAATTGTTTTGGAGGATGACCAAAGCAAAAAATATAACCAAAAGATTTGCATGTTTTTCTTCCAGATGTCCTTTCTCAGCTATTCCTCCTAGTGTAGACTGTAAACTCTACCGAGTAGCTCTTATGGCATTCTCTGGAAGGAGTAGAATTAGTTCTGTGGAATGTGGAAGAGGTTTTACAGACAAAGATTGCCTATTCAGTTAAGCTACTGAAGGAATCAGAAATGTCCAATCTCCACAGTGTAGAGAGGGCCAAGTGTCATAGGTTAAATGCCATGCAACGCCAAAATACATCTCTGCAAGGATTTCTGGATCACCTATCAAGAGGGCACTCCCAAAAGAGGATGAAGGTAACAATGAAAAGGTACCTCCAAGCCACTCACAGAAGTGGAAGAAAGCAAATATACTTCTAGAAGGTAGAAAATACTTCAATGGAAGTCTTGAGATGCTCTCGAAGTACATTAATACTGTGTTAGGCATTAGAGAGTAGCACATCAATATAAAAATACGTCTGCAGACAGAGAAATAGAGCAAGGGTGATTTTGGTTGTGCAGCCATAGTCTTTGTATTGAATGAGCTTGCAATCTTCTGGAGGGGAATTTCAGTGTTGGAAACACGTAATATATATGTTTTGGAGTTACAGGCAAGGAGGCTACCGGTATCATACTCATTTTGAGGAGTCCCTGTGAAATCCTATGATACCAAGCCGTACTGTCAGTACTTACTGACCAACCAGTGCAGGGGATCCTGGTATTGACCAGGAACTGCCCCTTAGCTGAGTAATGTGAAAAGGAAGAAACCCAAATTTTTTTCCCTTTGTTTTGTTAGTCATCAGAGAAGGTGATATATATCAACAAAAGACCCCCAATATATAATTTCTTCTGATGACCAGGTAAAGGACGTCTTAACTGTTCTGCTGATTTGTGAAATCAAATCGTTTAAAATAAAATAAAATCTGAGGAGGCTTTTCAGTGAAGCTGATACCTGCAATGTTAGTGACTGAAAGCAAGTGTTTAAGATTTCATTGATCTTCCTTCTCAAGCCCTGAAACAGTTCTTATTCAATGTTCCAGGAAAGAGTTTGAGATGGACCTTTGCTGTCACTGGGGAAACCAAAATACACTGGGCAGTCACAGACATGTCTTTCTTCAAAGCAAAAGAAGTACCTCGAGAAGTTTGTATGTTCCAGAGTATTCAAGAACTTTTAAAACACAAACACATGATGGGCTTAAAACCTGTACCTAGGAATAAAATCTCATCCAAGATTTTTTTCTTTTTGCTTTTTTACTTTTAATCTAGTACCTACACACATGAAAAATGACACAGCACACAGAAATGGGGGATTGTGCTGGGGATCCACATCAATGCTGCTCATGAAAAGAGGAACTGAAGGATGGTTGGAGTTTCACGACATTAGGTGGGGCTAGATCGCCACTGTGCAGATGGCATATCCCCAAAGGACAGCAATGGTCAGAAAGACTCTGACCTGATGCACTCAGAGGAGAATCCATACATTCATCCAGAGTGAACCTTCATACAATGCTAGCATGAGAGCGCTGGGAGCAAAGTTATGACCTTCTCATTCTGTTTCCAGATATAAGAAGGACACGGCAATCTTCAGAAAGCAACTGAAGTATCAGAGCAATTCCTTCAAAGCATGGGAGATTATGCCTTGGATCTATACCTTGAACAGCCACAAAGGACTTGCTAGGAATACAGGTCCATAACATGGGGTGGGAAGAAGGTATTCTTTCTGTCAATGACCTTCTACAAATGCTAGTTTTCTTATTCTTAAGAACTTAAGGATGGTAATGAAAATGAGATCTTAGTTCTACTTTATCACAAAACAGTCAGATAAGGTCTTTCTACCTTTTCATAATGTTCTATCAGAATTTCAACGACGACATTCTGAAACTTAATGTTCATCATAGCAGCCACGGTTTCTTCTTGGGCTCTCATCAGAGTTGGTCCAAAGATAACACCAAGGTTGGATACAGTCATTAGATTTTGCTGACTGTGTAATGATACCCTTTAAATGAACACAAACAATATGCAATTAAATATTTGTGCTGAACTACAATTCCAACAGGCAAAAACCTGTTAAAGACTATTTCTTTAACGAGATCCCAAGTTCATGCCTCCCCTTTAAAAACATTTTTTGAACTTTTACTTTTACTAGAGTCAAAATGCAGCATAGTACAACTACTGTCTTTCCATTAAGGTTCCCATCCTGAAATAACTTAATGGATAATGAGCACACCTTCCTAGAGTAAGCATTTAAGTTCCTGAGATAATTGACAGGGAAAAGCAACTATCTTTGAAGGTCTCCACAGAGAGATCCAGACCGTCTAAAGTTTAGGATTCTTAGGGTAGGTACCTATCCCTCTCCAATGATAATACAGGAACTTAAATACCTGATGTTGGATTGACTGAACATACTATGGTAACCATATACCTTAGCTTTCATGTAAAGGAAAGAAACTTAGTTACTGAAAACACACTGCAGTAAGATCTCTTTATTAATGTGCGGAAAACAAGGGATCAACAGGGTCAGTGAAATCATTGTTTCTGTGTTATAGATAACACTAGATGAACATCATGACATCTTCTGACTTTAAAATATATTAATCCTTTACTTCCTTATATTCCATTATCACTCATTGTACTTTTTCTGTCATTTTTCTTCTTAATGTAGAATTTATAAACTTAGTTTTACCAATAATTTATCCAATCGTAAAATGAAACCCATCTATCAGTAATCCTCAATGCCCCTTTTCTCTCCTTACAAATAAGATTTGCCAAATAAAACCCACATCATCATAAATCCTTTGAAATAACTGCCAGTGATTCCCCATTACAGTTGCCCTATTGCTTCAAGTCTGAGAGGTATCATGCCAAGTAAAAATTTGCTAATTGCCTTAACGCTTAATTTTACTAAATCTGCTACCAAATAGAATCAGTTATTGAGGCACTTGTTCATGTTTTCCTCTTCCTTCTTACTGCTATCTGCTACCATTGTCAAGCTGAGCATTTTTAGCTATTTCCTACATAGTTAAAATAACCCCTGTAGCTTTTAAAATTAAGAAACAGTAAAATCTACAAAATACTGGAAGAGTAGCAGGTAGGAGAAACTTTATCTTCTGTTTTTCTCTGACAGCCTTTATTAATCAGGTTTATGGAGACATCTGCTATGTTTTCCTTCCAAAAATATTCTCAAGATAGCTTGATTTGTTCTTACAATGTTATAAAACTTTAGCAAAATGATTGATCTGATGGCAGAGTTTGGTAGTAAATAACAGAAATACAATCCTATTACAGAGACTAAAAAGCCAGTGACAAAAAGACTGTCAGATTTTCCCTGGGCTACTGGGGGATTCTGTTAGGATCAGGGTCAAATCCATGCCTGGACTCACACATAACCCTTTCTCTCAGTCTCACTGTTGTGGAGGCACTAATGATACACAGAATGAGGAGAAGAGTAGAATTATCTTGGTATCTTGGTACAGAGGTGAACTAGACTGTACAATTACTTCTATAATGAAGTAATACTCCCCTTATCTTTGGAACAGCAATGTTTTAGCACCCCATTTACATCAAGAAGCAGGAAAAATATGGGAAAGGGGTTTGTACTGGAGACAACACGATGATAAACTGCAGGAAAATAAATGCTTATCTTCTTACATGTTTCCTCTGTTGCTTCATTAAGTTATGCCAGAAAAACTTTCCAAAGTTCTACTTCAGGCAGATACACTGGCAGAGATCATCATTTGGAAGCCGTATCATGAAAATGACTCCCTTGTTAAAGCACATTTTTAGCCAATTATCTTAATCTAGTTTTCTCTGTACATGTCTTATGTTTGGCTTAGGTTACTAAGGGGTGTTTGGGAAGTCCACTAGTATTTTAATGAAAATGGAATTTTGAATTACTCAGCTCTAGGTTTCTTAGAAAAACCTAAAAAAAAGTAACCCTTTGCAATGTTACTCTGCTTTGTGCTGCACAGTAACTGTTAAGGTCTCTTACACAAACATTATAGTCTTAGAGAGTAAGAGAGAAAGTAGTGTTTGTCCTGGGTTTGGGTTTCCTTGGTTACAAATTTGGTAGCTTGGTTAATAAAAGGAATGTAACCAGAAAGGACTTTCTACAAAGCATTTCAAAGGCTCAATTTCTTGCAAAACAGAAAAAAACCCCAGGCCTGTAAATGGATCATTTTGATAAGCAATTTTCCCTGACCTAGTCCCACTGTTGCTGGGCTACTGAACAGATACAGGCCACGGCAATCATGCATTTCAGGTAGCTGTAAGGCATTCATTAAGGTGCTGTTGCTTTCTCCTCAAAATCTCTTTGATATATCACCAGTAAATTTTTGATACTTCCAGACTGCAGACTCCTGACTACCTACCTTAGGAAAGTATGGTGTTATTAAATCATACCAAAGAATGATTTATTCTTTAAAGTAGGCAGGTAATTTGACTAGGAAGGCTTAAAAACAACAAATGAGTTACCTATCTGAAAACACCACCAAACTTCCCACATTTGCCTAGCTGCTAAGTATATACTCATACAGTATCACCTCTCTGCAGGGTGCTTTTCAGGATTTACTTGTTTTGTTTGTTTTTAGTATGATCTACATCCCACAACATCTAGATCATATTTACTTTTGCACAGTGACACAAAAGTCAAGGTAGGCAGAGACATAAAGACCTTAAGACCTAAACGAAGGAAAAAATAATATTGTCCTTATCTTATAACTCATAGTTAAAGGTATAGTATTTTCACCTAGACTTGATAGCATACACAAAGGAACTGAACAGCTAGAAGAAATACAGGGAAAGGATGCACAACTTGAAATTGGATTTTAACAAAAGAATGAAGCAACAGGAGGTTGTTTTTTTTCATATTTTCCTATTTACATACAATTAGGCACTTTATCTCCCATTTCTTCTTTGAAAAATCTCCACACAGTGGTAGGAAAAAGATGAAGAAGGAAGATAACTAATACACACAAAAGACTTAATTTTGAATTCTGTCTCATTAGAATTGCTAGCATAAACAACAGCTGGCAAATTATACGAGAAAGTAAAAGGGATGAATTGAACATTGGAAAGTAAAGAACTGAAAGTTTTCAGTGTAAAACCGGAAGATTAAATTTATCAGAAATGAAAATCGCATCGAAGATGTGATAGGCAAGAGTTAAAGAGAACAATTAAAGAAGGGAATACTGCAGGCATGCTTTTCTTTGGAAATGCATCAGCAGTCATATTGAGAGTAAAGAGGCCAGGACAAGAGGTCGAGAAAGAAATGCTTGCCTATAACTAATTCTGCCTAGAAATAAGTCAGTTCCTATGTATATATTTTGGGGCTTCCAGACTAGCAGCTTTTACAAAATCATTAATCCCTCATTAAATGTTCTAACTTTTTAGAGGGCTAGAAAGCAATAGATATTGTATTTTTTGGCTCATCAAACAACTCTGTGAGTAAGGAAACTTAGGAAAATTGCTTTCACCTGGTTCTCTGGGTCACCCCACAACTAACAAGATGCCAGGTATGCCTAATCAGTTTGTACAATGGAAGCATTCAGAGCAGCTCCCTATCTTGTTAGTTCTCCAGGGGCTTATGACATAAAGGGCTAAAAATAATTTATTAGGGCTAAATAATTTCCTATCAAAGAAATTTTCAAAGTTCTACTGTCTATAAAAGGAAGCAAAACTGCAGGCAGCTTACTGCAGGCTGTGGCTCAAGCTGTGATCAAAAAAACCAAAACAGCTGAGACATAATGGAATGGAATGAAGACAATATGGACTCCTCTCTTATGTCTCCTACATAACTCAGTCATGTGGGCCTTATCTGAACGACTGCTGTTTCAGTATTTACATTCCCAGATTACTGATAAATGTACGAAAAAGTATACAACAACCTAAATCAGAAAGAATAACACATATTAAAAAGTATTCAGCAAATACCAGTGAAAACTGACCAAAGATTTAGTAAAGCTTACATGAATAAGTTTTGATGCAGAAACAGGATAAGTTATACCGTAATAATGGTATATAATCATAGCTAGTGATAGAGATATAAGAGAATAAAAACTTGTCTTTTTTTGTCTCATAGCACGTGCTAAGTGTAATTCAGTGAAGACAAAAGGTCATCAGTTCAAAGAAATGCAAAGTCTTTTCCATCTGACCTTTAATTAATACTCTTGATTGAGCTGATGAAACAAAGGAGATTCATAAATGGGTTTGTACATTTATATAGATATCAAAAAATATAAATAATAATACTTCAAATTAGCATTTTCAAATCATACTACACTTCAGAGCTGTTAAAGAGAGAAAAAAGATGAAACATGAAAGACAAGTATTATCAATTAGTCTACTCTCCATCTCTCAAACACTGTGGGACCTGGACTCAGATTCAGAACAGCATTTTCTACCAACCTTAGCATAGCTTTAGGTGTTTCTTAAATTTAATTAATGCAAATTCCTGTAACAAGTAAGAAGGTGAATGAAAACAGTGGGTATATTTTATAAACATAGTTGGTCATCTGGTGATTCTTTATGGCATTATTTTAATTTTGTTTCTACGGTGAGCGTTCTTCAGCTGTGTTGAGAACAGCATTTTAGAAATGGAATGTAGTATCAAGCGTAATCTCAAGTGGCATTTTTTCAACACAGAGAATGGATTAAGCAACACTGACAAATTTAAAGTGGAAATAAACACATTTTACAATAATACCAAAGAGAAAAATGAAAAATAATTACTTGACCAAGTGCTTGATAAGGATGTCCAGCATCTCTCTGTTCTTCTCTGGTAATTTATGCACAAGTGCATGTACTGCCTCAACTCTGTAGTTCTGATCATCTGACTCTATTAAAAAGAAAACAAATATTGCTCGTAAAATAGAGTATGTGTTAAGATGCAACTACAAATGGCACCAACATCTGTACGCTAATACACACATGCATTACAAGGAGCTAAACACTATTAGCCTCTAAAATGATGAAGACGATTTGATTATAATTATTGCAACAGTCTGAAATCTGTATTTCAAGTAACTCGCCAAAAGCAGTTAACACCAATACTGGAAACAATGAAATTTGTGGCAATTTTGACCCGATGTGCCACTTAGTGAAACCCAAGATTCTAATCTGATACTTTAAATATCTAAAATTCTCGAGTGTCTTTTACTCTTACCAGGCAAAAGGAAATGGGGAAGTAACTTCAAATTCTAAACTGGAGTCGTTAGAAAAGCAGTCTTACTATCTCTGTATCTAATTACTCCATTTGTGAAAAGGAGATAATTAGCAACCCCTACAATTTCTCAAGGCGAGCTGGGAAAATAGAAGTCCCTGGATGAGAGGGATGAATGCTATAAAAGAATTATCAGCCCATATAAAACAAGCAAACATATAAATCAAGTTTCAAAATTTCATGCAGAATGCAGTCACACAGAACCTCTAAAAAGATCAGAACAAACCACTGAACAGCTTCATCTAGTGTGGCTTCTCTGTTTTGAGGGCTTTCATGTAGCACTGTGCTGTCACATACAGTGACATGGAAGAACTCAGATCCATGTCTGGATCACTGAATAATAGACCAAGGAGAAAAATGAGGATAGTAACTGAGGAGATTAAGCGTTAGAAACAACATTGCTTTCATGAAAGTGTATTTATTACTTTACTTACTAACAGCAACAATGAAATCTTTGTGCAGCTTGAAAGTCATCAGTGGTTCTGAAAGACACCTGGTTGTAAAAAAATATTGAAAAGAAAATAAAAAAACGCACATTATTCTAAGTCTTTTTAAGTTTTATGCGTGTGATTACGATAGCCCTCAACATCTGCATAATGTACATTGGTATGTTGTAGGAAACCAAATTCAGTGATGACTGATTGCAAGAGTTCTCTCAGAAGTACCATAATTCTTGAAAATTCTGTCTCTTATTAGCATAAATTTGAAGAGAAAATGTTAATTTGGGAGGGATATTGTGTTTGCAAAGACACCAACAGCATAGGATAAAAACCTATGCTTTTGCAGAGATTTTTATTCTGCTCCAGCAATGATGCCATGAAACCACATGGTACACAGCTTAAGGGATTCAGAAAAGAAAGACTGATCACAACATGCTTTGTGGTTAATGTGTAAGATTTTATAAGAAAACATGCAACTAATTAAATTCTGCCAAATTTATGGCTATATATGTAAGGCATGACTATCTTAATAAGGCAGAAAGTGTTTGATAAATTTTAGATTTATTATTACACATAATCACAGGGGTATCAGGCAAGATCGTAATATACTCAATTATTACCATGCTAATGGATACAAGAAATGTAGTATGATATTGATAAGCAAAAGATTAGTGGGCCAGAAAAGGAATACTGAGATTTGTGTAGCATCATACTTACCTGAGGTAGTTTTTTAGTCCACTTGTTATTGTTTTATTGTCCCAAAGTTCCATATCAATGTCCATATCAGGAGGAGATTTAGGGGCTGGTAGAAATTTGAATTATGATTGTGTTATAGTTTGACTAACATACTAACTAGGAAAAGCAACAAACCAGAAACTAATAGATTAGTCATTTAGCTCATGTGATTACTTATTAGCCAGATTAACTACCAATCTGATCAATTTGAGTTTTTTAATCTCTGCCAAAGTATTGCTAAAAAAGAATATAGTACTCATTATTTAGTACCTGTAAACATTAACCATATGAACTGTATCAAAGTGTAAAGTAAGCCTAAGTCTACAGAGAATCACTAATGTACTTGGCTTAGACATTCAAAACACAGGGATCAGGGAGCCAAATTAGTAAGAAAAGTGAAAGACTAGAACAACTGGCTATTAAACTGAGTTATGCTGTGTTACAGAACTGAGCTTTGGAACACTTCTGAAATATGCCAAATAGATACCAATAAATAAAACTTCAAAGTTTAAGGAAGAAATGTATTTTATCAGTAATTTGCTCATGTATATCGATGACTGCATGCAGAAATTGAATACTAATGCACACAAGAAAGTAGATGGTTTAGACTCATTTTAAGACTGAAAACTTAATTTAGCGGCAGTAAGTGCACATACAAAATTGTAAATATTATGACACACTCTTCTGAGCACAGCAGGTAAGGCAAAAGGGACCACAGCACACACGCAGCACACTGACAAAGGTTCACTGCAGGTACTTACAAAATATGGTATTCATCAGCTTTTGCACCTTGGAGTTTACACCTCCTATTCTGTACAGCCCCAGGATTGTAATACCTACATTGGGAAAACAAGCACAATGAAAATAATGAAAATATGGTTATTTCAATAAATGCTGATGCACCCTTGGTGTATGTTTTCAAAACATCTAAATGTATTTATGGAAAACTGTACAATTACATTCCTGAGTACTGCTTTACCCTACTGACTTCTCTTCTGGGATATTAACAAATGCATTCCACTGATCCACACCATACCATACATTAATCATAATTTTACATTAACAGAACCCTTTTGCATAGAAATAACCCATATTAGCAATCAACAAGGAGATAGCTGGGAAAAGTGAAAAATAAGACCCAAAAGCAGTCTTAAAACACATTACACATCAACAAGTTTATTTGCTTAGACCACCATCCCTTCCAATTAAGATGTGATTGACATTTACAGGAGAAATAATGACTGTACCCAAAATAAGAACATACACTGTATACTGTTGCAACACTGCAGTTAAGAATTTGTTACGCATAGATCCCCATGCAAAATAGAGTCCATGTGCAATTTACCCCTAAATTTCAATTCTTGTTTTTGTTTTGTTTTTTTTTGTTTGTTTGTTTGTTTGTTTGTTTCTTTTTAATAGCACAGATACTAATATCAAATAATGCTTAAAATCTGACATTCTGATTGGATATCAGGGAAAAATTCTTTACTGAAAGAGTGGTCAGAGATTGGAACAGGCTGCCCAGAGAGGTGGTGGAGTCCCCGTCCCTGGAGGTGTTCAGAAAACGTGTGGATGTGGCACTTCAGGACATGGTTTAGTAGGCACGGTGGTGTTGGGCTGACTGAATGATCTTAGAGGTCTTTTCCAACCTTAATGATTCTATGATCCTATGACTCACAACACAGTATTTCAGTATTCCAGTGGTGATAATTTTATTGTTTTTAACTGCCTTTTAAAATCAGCAGGATTTAAAAGTCTTCCCTTCTCCCCACTTCAGGCCTTGCCATTTAAAAATTGCCCTCTTTTCCTTTGAAAACAACATTCCAAAGTCTGACCTCACTTAGATAACCTAGGTGTTTTGTTTTGAAACCCTTTTTTCCCCCTCAGAAAAAAAATGCAAGCTCTGAGTCAGCAGTGATTCAAAAGCTGCGTAAGATTGTTACCTGAGAAATTGAATGAGCTCAAATGCTGCACGGAGAGAGCAACACAGCTTTTGGATTAGAAGAGAGTTGCATACTGACAGTTCAGTGCACGGAAAGGAAAAGGTTACGTCTTTGTATGTAAGATGATAGAGCCATACCTCTTCATTTGCAAGGGGACAGTTAAAAACTTGCTGTGTGTTGCAAGATATCCCCTCATCAGTAGAGTGATTATTATTTTCTTTTTGTACATCCGCACTACCAAAAGTGAGTTTCTAAATATTTTTTAAAAATGGATAAACCATGTGCAAAATGACTGAGTAAAATGACAGGAGTTATGGTCTGCAAAAAAGATGTTTCAGCAGAGACTCTTCATACCACTTTTTGGTCTTCAGGTTTCACCCCAGAAACCAGTTGGGAGCTGAGGCTCCCTGCAGTTTTACCAAGAGAAAGCACAATTCGCTGCACACAGATTAAAGACTAAAGATGTGTGCAACTGTGTATTAAACTGTCTACACAACACGAAATTACAGAAAATGTTTTAAAAAACCACTTAAATGATACGTTAAGAACCGCTGTTGGAACTTGTGGCAACAGTTTCAAGTGTAAAGAACACAGATAAAATGTGGAAAGTACAAACTAAATGATGGACACACTCCAAAACAGAGCTGTAAAAAATGCAGAATTAATCAAAGCAATATTAGAGAAAAAATAACTCATAATAATCCAATACATAATTTGTGATGTAATACACACCTCTTGTTTCTACAGCATGAATACATTTCCTCACAAAGTTGAATCCTGCTTCGTTTAAAAACACTATAAAAAGAAAAAAAAGGTAATTCTTTTCTAATTTAACAACACACAAAATCTCCGTGTTTAGCTGCATTCACATACATTAGTCACGAAGGACTGACACACATCTGTCCACGAGATTATGCTTAATTCTGTAATAGTATTCTTGTAGATATAAATCCCTAGCACTCAAACCCCAGCTTTCTAATCATTAGTGTATCATTAGGAGCAGAATATTCTACTGTCTTGCTAAGAAATCAGTAGCCCCTCTACAATACAGCTGAAAGCTTCTTGCTTTAAAATGAGATTGCTGTACTCCCTTCCCTCTGCTGAGGAAAATGCTTTTAAGAGTTCAGGACCTTCATTATGAACAGAATATATTTGCTGGTTGTAACACAACATTCTTTATTCCTTGCACATCCACATAACCGCTCATAAAATGGTAACATAGGAAAACAATCTTTGTTATTGACTTTAATTAGTCAGCTTATTTCAAGTGAATGTATTTTTCATTAATTTTTTTATCTTCAATGATCACTGCTCTAACAACCAGCTAAACAAAGAAGATCTTAAAGCAGCATATTTGTCACCATTAAAATAAACACCATCATATAAAAAACAGATGTAGTGACTTAAATTTAAATTTCCAGAGTCTCAAATATACCTCCTGTGAAGATGTACGTCCATATCTGACACATCTCTCTCTCCTTCTCTGAGATACATACACCCACATATATATTTAAATTATTTTTACATATCTGTGTTAATATAATATTATGTTTATAATATATATGTGTCGTGGTTTAACCCGGCTGGCAACTGAGCACCACGCAGCCGCTCGCTCACTCCCCCCTCCCTCAGTGGGATGGGGGAGAAAATCAGGAAGGAAAAAAAAGTTAGAGCCGCGGGCTGAGATAAAGACAGTTTAATAAGAGAAAACAATAATAATAGTAATAATGAGAATGGTAAGAGAATATACAGAATATACAAAACGAATGATGCACAATGCAATTGCTCACCACCCGCCG